AACCCAAAAAAAAAAAAAAAAAAAAAAAAAAAAAAAACCCCCGACCCCCCGCTTTAAAAGGAAAGAAACCCCGTTTTACCAGTTTTTTTTCCCCTCTCTTTTCTTCCCAGGCCCCCCCCTCTGGGTTTTTTCCGCCCGAAAGGGGCCCAACCCCCCACCCTTTCCCGGGAAAAAGCCCCAACCCCCCTTGGGGAAAAGGGAATTTTTTTCCGTGAAAAGGGAGTTTTTTCCAAGGGAAACGGGGGTACCCCCAACCCCAAGGGACCCCCCAGCCGTTAAGAGCCCCCCCCCACCCTTTTTTTTTTTTTTTTTCCCCCCTTTTTTGAATTTTGGGAAAAACTTTCCCCTTCCCCCAAAAACCCCCCCAAAAGCCCCCCCCCCCCCCCCCCCCCGGCCCATGCCTACGTGAGCGTCTCTCGATAATAAGTCATGTCTCCCTCCTTCTCTTGCCGAGGCAAAGCGGGCTTTTTTCTCACGCCTGCCCCCCCCCCTGCCCCGACTCGCTCCCGTCTCCTCCTCCCCCCGCCGGCGTCGCCGCTGCAGTAGCAGCGGCAGAACTGGCCCCCGCTGCCTCGCCGCTACCAGCCTGCGATCCTGCGACCCCCCCACCGCCCGAGGGCATGAGGTAAGACAGCAGCCGCGGGTTGGCGGAGAGCTCCAGCTCTGTGAACTCGAAGAGCGTCGGCAATGGCTTACCGTTCGGCAGCTTGACTCCCTCTTGGCGCAGCTGTTTCGTTTCGCGCAACAATAGGACAAGAGGGGGTGGACGAAGGGGAGAAAGGAACTCAAACGACCCACGTTTAGGATTTTCACGTGACAAGAAAATTTGTCACAGCAGCGCACAGGATTGTTCAACCAACCGTCATGCGAAATATCGCGACCAAAAAACACGATGCTTCACAATATATATATATATCAACAATAGCAAATCTGCCGGCAGAAACGGGCTAGATATCGACACCAGAAACGTCCGTGACGCGAGAGACGGGGCTTACACAACGCGATGTGATTCGAAAAAAAAGGGAAACGAGACCCAACAACAACAACAAAAATCGGCAAAAGAACACACTGAGCCGGAAAAAATGACCATTAGATGCACTGCGAGGCTACGTCTCTGAAGTCACGAGCAATGTTTTAGCACAAACTAACCTGGTGCTACCTACATAAAATTGCGTTCAAGAGTTCAACAACAAGAACGTAAGAAGGCGTAAACACGCCGACGACGCCTTGCTGAGATGGCAACCCAGCTTGTCTCAAACCAAACATGCCTATCCTCTAAAAACACGCCAATTTCGCTTTGTTGTGAGGCGGTGTCGTTGTCATGATGCGGGACTATTCCGCACCATGCCCTGCTGAAACTGCGACGACGAGGAAAAAAATCCTAGGTCGACACAACAACAAGACACTGGTCGGGCACCGCTGCTGTGCAACACTTGGCGAAGGCTATCACTGCTGTACATACCTCGTCAACGAACTCGTGGCTGCAGACCTCCAGCGGCTTGACCCGCTTTAACGGATCGTACGCCAGCATCTTGCTAACCACATCCAGCGCCTTTTGGAAACACAAACGCGCGGCGGCACGAAGACAGAGGGAGGAAAGGACACCCGTCCAGCAGATAGGGTGGAGGGGGCATCGATGAGCAAAAATATAAAACAAAAACGACGAGCGGCCGCGAGAACGTTCATCGCGAACGTATGTGAGCATGACTTCAACTCATGGTATCCAGAGGCTCACGTGTTACCGGTGTAGCGACACCGTTCCTGGCCTACTGTAACCGCACACCACTTTCGTCTACTCTCCGCAGACACAAAACGAGCAAATAGGTTGGTTCATCGTGCGCGCTTGTACGAAGACACCAGAGACAAAGACCGCACTGGAGGCGACAGGTCTAAGAGCTACTGCTGCAGCCATGCATACGTTGGGCGGTGTACTTTCCGGATCGTGACGATCGAACAATCAAGGTGTTAACAACCGATGAGAGTGCGAGCAGTCGTGCTTCCATTTGACCCACACTTTGCTTGTGCTCTGGGTGACTCACAGGCAATACCAACATTCGACACAAAAAAAACAAACTAGCTATTGTAATCAAATGAAGTCACACTTACTACTCTCGGTGATTCCTAGACAACACCAACATTCGACACAAACATCGAAACATGGCTAGAAACCTTCAACAACTACGGTGTCTGTCTTCACACGCTAAAAACCGTTCTAATCAAACAACCACGAAAAAAAAATTACAAAAAGAAACGCGTTCTTTTCTTGTCACCGCTCACCTCGGGAGGGGTCCTGGATCTAAACACGCCCTTCCACGGATGCGCCTTGATCTGCGGGAACTTGAACTCCGAGTAGTTGTAGTTCATCGCCCGGATCTCTTCTCGCGTCGGTGTCCCCAGCACCTGAGAACGTATACAGAGAATATCGCCACACCACAAACAAACCACAGGGTTATTTGTTGATGCGTTCAAACAAGCGTCACCGGGAGGATTGATGCAAGCGTCGCGACCCCCACGCGACATCAAACGCCGTTCGACTCTATGCGTCACCGTGGCGAATCCAGCTACAGTAGATGCGACGGTTTGGCTTCCAAGAGGCCTTCACGAGTGCACGCGTTCCAGTCAAGCATGCCTGGCCAACGACGTACCACAAGACAAGGATTTCATTGCTCGTATTGCTTGATGACACTTTTGATGGTTTGATTTTCTTCGTCATCGCATCGACCGTCGTGCTGCAAGTCACCAAGCTGCCCAGAGAACGCGAAAAAATAAACCTCCACTCTCGTCGTGGTGGTGTGCTACGGCCTGGTCCGGTGACACCGTTTTGGCTTTGTAGGGATGCGAGGTCATTGGTCTAACGACTATTGCATGCACGACTATGAGTACCCCCCCCCTCCCCCCAACCACT